GGCTCGAGGCTCGACGCTTCGTCCCAGCTTCGTTGATTCGATTGTCCTCCATCTCAATCAAGAATCGAGCATTCGCATCACCGCCGACCTCTTTATCTCGCGCAAGCCATCGAGCAGGCCAGTGACGTACGCTTAGCGTCCATTTCACGCTCAAATCTCGCGCATCATGCCACCCAAAGGTGAGTGGTGCGGTGCGGTTCGGGGCCGTGCCATTGCAATTTCATGGACGCATCAATGACCAGCGACATGCCATCACCGTGCAATCTCTTCAGGAGGAGGCGGAGGCAAGCTGAAAGGCGGTGCGGCCAAGAAGGCGGAGGCAGCAGCTAGCAAGGAATCGGACAAGGCAGCAGCGGCCGAAGCAGCCGAAGCAGCGACGTGGGAAAAAGGAGCAAAAGGCAAAGGCGCTTCCGAATCCAAAGCTGAAAAGGCAGCCGAAGCAGCGCGCAAAAAGGCAGAGAGGGAAAAGTTGTTGGCTGAAGAAGAGGCCAGCTTGCCCAGCAAGCCCGTCAAAAAGGCGGGAGGTGGTGCGAAGAAGGATCAGCCAAAGAAGCCTTCTCAACCTCCTCCCGGCACTGGCTTGGATGAGGCCATCTCCAGCTTCAGCGCCTCAAACATTGACGATGCTCTCGAAGCGTGGGTGACGCGTATGTTGAAGACGATCCGAATGTATGCATGCTGATTGTATCGCTTTGTCGCTCAACAGCATGTCCCTCGCTACGGAGAGGACGGATAAGGCTGCAGTGGGCGCTAAAGCAGGCGCGATCGAGCGGCACCCCGAAAGGCGATTCAAGGTGCGTCTAATGCGGATGACAGCTGTACCTGCTCACAAGGGCCCAAGTGTTCCCAGTCGCGAGCACCGTCCTGAGCATCATTCACCTCCTCGCGCGGACACACACAGGCCGCTTTCGAGGCGTACAAGGAGCGCGAAATGCCAAGGATCAGACAAGAGGTGAGGGCGGATCGAAACAAGGCGGGTGGCTGCTCAGCTTCAGAAGCCGAAAAGAGTTGACATGCCATGCCATGCGTGCACGTGCCTCTTGTCCTGCTGCTCTACGTCAAGCGTCCTGGCTTGCGCAAGAATCAGTACGAGAACGAGCTGCACGACGAGTTCAAGAAGCATCCCGACAATCCGTTCAAGTGAGTCCGCGTAGGATGTTAGTCGGCATCAAGTGTTTGCCACGAGTCTCACCCGTCTCCCGCTTCCCCACTCTTCTTGCGAAACAGTCAATTGCAGGTGTCTTACGATGCTACTCAAGAGGAAAAGGTCGAGGTGCTCGCCAAACAAAGGGAGCTCAACGAGAAGCGTCTTGCTGGTGCTTAGAGATCATCGTCAGATGCCGGTGACGGCTTTACAAGCCAAGTCCCCAAGAGTGGGCGCGTCTCGGTAGCTATTCATCCCTCTTGGAGCGCGGTCATTCCAGTGCGGCTCCACACGACGCGCCCCGCTCCTAGCACAATACATCGCTATTCATGACTGCGAGCGCGCATGCCTTGCGCTGATCGTCCATGCTCCACATTCGAGCTTAGTCAGCCTTCTTCTTGAGATTGGCCCAGAGGTGCTTGCCAGAGTTGTTCCTGCCAAATCAAGGCATCAGTAAGCATGATGAACAGTGGTTGAGCGTCCACATGTCACGGAGCGAGTCGGGAAGCTCACCACCATAGAGAGCCGTTGAGATAGGAGGCGTAGGTGGTCCAAGCAAGATAAGGAGCGATGAACCAAGATGCTTCCTTGGACACCTCGGTCTGCAAGAGGTAGAACCAGTAGCCTACCGTTCCCGTCAGCGCCACGAGATCGGTGAATGCGGCTCCGAGGTATCCTAACGGGACAAGCCGAACAGCACGTCAGCGAGGTCACGTTTGCAAGTGATGGTCGAGCCTGTAGAAGAGGTCGCAGGCTGCATCATCACTGCTCACCTCCACCGAAGCAAAGAGGAGTCCATGCCCTGCAGCGCGTATCACACGGTCAGCGGTTGAGGATTCTGAGAGGAGCGAGAGCCTGCTCGAGTTTGAGTGCACTCACTGGTTCTGCAGCAGCAAAGTAGCCAAAGAACGAGGGATCAGCGGGGCATGCTCTATCATGACCCCTCCGTTGCGAGTTTTCAAGACTACTCACGAGAGCCAATTGAAGATAGTACAGCTTGAGGCTCAGCAGAGCCTTGTCACGACCCAGTCCAGGCGGAGTGCGGTCCAAAGCTTTGACTGAGAGGAAGGATGCCCATCCCATGGACGCATACAGGGCAGGCCAGACGACTATTGAAGCGCGTCAAAGGCGGCATCAACAGGAGGGAGCGAGACTGAATGGCGGCAAGATCAGCAAGTTTTCGCGTCATCGACTCACCTCCAAAGGACCAGGCAGGAGGGTCGAGCGTTGGCTTCTTGAGGGATTGGTACCACTGTATGGGCCCACAAGCGTACCAAGCGGTCAGTAACATCCACAAAGCACGCACATGGCGCGCGACACGCGCAGCCATGCCAAGCTTAGCGACGCTCACTCACAAAGCTACGAGGCCCATACTTGGAATGACGAGTCAACAATCCCGTGGCAAAGCTAGCAGCCAGGGGCAGTCCGACAGCAAAGACTGGTGACCTGGGAATATCGATCAGGATCGGCGGCAGTGGGATTGTGGACGGCATCTCTGAAAGGTCTGTGCGGAATACTGGTTGGGTGCGCGCGGTTTGTTGAGCAAGACGTGCAGGGGTTGAGACTGTCAACCAGGATTGTGGTGGTGGTGCGTGAAAGGGCTAAAGTTGGTGAGCCAAGTCCGTCAACTCGCAGTTAGATTTGTCGCGCACCACGAAATGCGGGGATGCGTTGGGCGGCGTCCGCCCGCGCGCGGTGATTCACGATTGGCATGCTGCTCATCATCGTGCAGCAGCGCGCGTGAGGCGCCCATGCGTCGCCTTGATTGGGCTGTCGCCCCCGCTACAACGCCATCTGCGCTCACTCCGCGATGGCTGCACGAGCGCGAATCAACAGCCTCACAGAATCAAGTCATGACCATATTCCCCTACGCACAGGTCGCGAATCGCTCATTCATATTCGAAGCAGAAGAGATGGAACATTGGAATTCAAAAGCGCGAGCTAAGAAAGTGAGGCGCGAACTACTAAAGGTACAAGGTTCGTAGCTCATCTCTCAAAGGGGATGGGGAACACTGAATAGAAGCGACACGCTCGGCGCGTCAACTTTTTTTTGGGAATGGCAACATGCGGCCCATTTGATTGTCTAGAAGCGAATGGCCACTCAAGCGTCATCGCTGCCCTCTGCGTCTGCATCCGAAAGCCGGCCTGCTTCGGCTGCTAAGCATCTTCGCTTCCACATCGCGACTTCTTCCTCGAGCTCTGTGATCCTGTCCGTGAACGCTTGCTGCTCCTGCTGCTTTCTCAAACGGCTGCGACGAGCACTGAGTGTATTGGACATACGCTTAGCCTTGACCGCATCCGTTTCCGCTGCGATCGCAGCCTCTTCCTCCAGAAAGGCATCCCTGCGCGAGGTGGCAGAAGGAGCCGAGTACTTGCGCGGCTGGATAGGTGCATCCATCGGCAAGAGCTCGGCCTGGGAACGACGCTTGACACCACGCCTCTCCGAAGCTGACCCTTCGCGACCGCTCGTGCTGGAGCTGCTGGCCAACTGATTGAAGCTCACCTCTGGCGTCGGCGTCGATCTGCTGCGGTCCAGCGAGATTTCCTGCGGAGACGCACAAGCGGTTGGCGCAGCAGCAGCAGACGCTTCAGGCGAAACTGTCGGCAATGCGCTAGAGCTCAAGGCACGCAAGAGCTTCAAGGCGGGGTCTTCCGTCTCGCGGCTGAACGCCATCTGCGAGCGTCGACTGGGAGAAGTTGCTGAGGCTTCACTTTCCGGGAAGAGAGTGAAATCGGCGTCTGCACTCATGTGGGCTGCAAACTCCCGCTGAAGGGCTTGAACCGGGCTAACCTGAGCACTACCGTCCGTGGACGAAGACGCGTCAGGAGGTGCAGGTCCGAACAGGGGGAAGCCAGCTAATTCTGGCAACTCCCCCTCGTAGTTGTCGGCCAACAGCGGGCTGGGATCGTAGGAAGAGTGGGCGTCGAACGACAATGAGCAAGTCAACGCTGGCGAAGGGTCGGTCCACTCTGGAGAGCTGAAGAAGTCGTCCTCGGGGCGACCAAGACCGTGGCCAAGCCACGCGGGATCATCGGCTGACATGGGTCCCAAGCTGAAGCTTTCGTCTGTGATGCACCGTTGCAAGTGAACGAGTGTTAGGCGGAGCCGAATGGACCGACGGTGGAAATCTCTCAGCGGGGCAGGCCACTCACCTTCGAAAGACTTAGTTGCAGGGTCGGGGATATCAGCGATGACCGGGCTCGAAGTCGCTTGAGCAGGGGAGGAAGTGGTCATGGTGTGGATAGCGCGAGCGAGGTGGGGCGGAAGAGGAGCCAAGAAGTACGGAGACGAAGCTGGAACGTGAGACTGAGACACAGAAGTGGATGGCACGGAAGCAAAGGCTCGGAATAAGAGTCGTTGATACTGGGCTTGGTCGAGGTTCTGGACGTTTTGAGGGAAACGGGCAGAGTCGGAAGTCGGTGGGGCCGAACGAGGCTGATGCGACGTCTGTTGGGGCACCTGCAGGGAACGCTGTCTGTGTTGCGGTAGCTTGAACGAGTTGGTTTGAGACCTCGCGTACGGTCGATTGAGATACGCTGGAAGAGGCTGCAAGTTTGCTTGTTGCTGGTGCTGATGCGACGCGTGCGGCGGGAACTGCGAGGTCGGGCCAGACGTAGAACCTTGCTGATGACCAACTAGGCTGGCTGAGGACTTGCTAAAATCGCAATTTTGATGATTGTTCAACAACTGTTGAATCACGTCGAGGGTGCTAGGTGTCGGTGATGGGGAGGGAGCCACTACAAGCGGTGAGGCGTTGGAGCTGTGCTTGTTGAGGTGGGTAGTGCTCGAAGAATTGAGCGGGGCATTGATAGATTGCGGCCATGATGGCGAAGGTTGAGGACGGCCTGGGTAGGGCGTCAAGGTGGCTGAATGGTGGGGGTTGCTTGAAGCGTGAGAAGTCAACTCGGTAGAGTTGACGGGTGAGCTCGGCTGAGAACGAGCAACGACATGCACGAGTGAGCTTCGCGGCGCGCAAAGACTCGTGTCAGACGAGGGCTACTCACGTAAAGATAATCTGGTGGGTTGTTGTGATCCGCTGGGTGAGCGGGCTGGTTAAGCGGAGAAAACCATGGTGGTGGGTCTGTGTGAAGTTCGCTGTATAGGGCCCCTAGGGGAATCTCGCCGACTGGTTGGGTCGACGGTGGTTGGGTTTGGAGACGGACAAGCCAGCGACGGCTAAGGGTGCTGACTTGCGGTTAGGTGCAGGCAGACTGTTGGTGCTGTGAGCGTTGCGATAAACAGAGGTAAGAGCGGTGCTGAGTCGACGGACTGCGGCAGAAGGCTGGGCGAGGCTTGATGCGCGCGCGCGAAAGGGGATTGGTGGAGTGTGAGGCAGGTGGGTGGTGAAAACGGGGGGGGGGCAGTCATAGGTTCACAAATTTGCGCCTCTTTTGACTGACCGATGGATGCTCGCATGACAGGCGCGGAGCACCCTTTCTTGAGCCCACCTGGATGATGCTTGTGGGCTCTGTCACAGTGGTCGTGTGCCTGCTCTCACTCGACCAGCGTAG